CTCAGGATTGTACAAGCACAGTTATGGTGGAAACCTTAGGTCTGAATCTCCTACTTTTTTCTTTTTATACCTCCAATATATTATTTATTTTGTGTTTTTGTTTGCCATTTCAATATACCTCCTGTAGATTATCTATTTTGTATTTTGTTTGGCACTCCAGTGCCTGATCCCGACCTCTTACACTTGCACACATTTATTTTCCCGCTACTTTTTTTTTAATCAAATAACACTTTTTTTCTGTGTGTTTACCAAACATTCCTTCAAGAATATGAATTTTTTTTTTAAATTCACTCCTTTTCCCCCCTCTTCGCCCCCAAATCCCCTCTGGGTGAGGCTGCAGGTCCCTCTGGGGTGTCCCGGCGAGAGGTGGCAGCACAGAACAGCTTTGCCGAGCTCCAGCCCCTGCTCCCATCCCACATCCCGGGAGCCCGCAGTGACCTTGAGGCACTTGGCAGCTGCCCCGAGGCTTTCCAAGTTTTTTCTTTAATATCTCCTGAGAGCTGAAAGGAATTTTCCAGAGGCAACAAATCAGGCTGGATGTGGCTCATCCATCCCGGGCCGGCTTGGAGAGACCTGGTCCAGTGGAAGGTGTCTCCCCCCGGGGTGGAACTGGATCGTTTTTAAGGTTGTTTTCAACCCTTTCAAAATATCCCAGCAGGAAAACCTTGGTGTCAGTGGGGAGAAGAGCCTGGAAGGTCCCTCCTTCCACTCCTTCTTTCCTTATTCCATCCCTGTTAGGGAGCACAGAGCCACTGGGACCTCTCCTCTCCTCCCTCTCCTTCCCATGTTGGGATTAATCCTTGTCTTGCCCAAAGGCAGCAAAGTTTCTGTGGAATTTTTACCTTCTTAACCATTTTAACCATCTGAACAAACTGAGGTGGGTTTTCCCCTCACCTCCTGCAGCATTTGGGTGTCTCCACTCACCAGGAGTGGCCCTGAAACGTTTTTGGGGATGAGGACAGGGATGGGAGTTGGAGGAAGATCATCATCATCCTGCAAAGAAGTCAGCAGGATTTTGGGTGATGGGCCTTCATCCTCCACTTCCTCAGCTTTTTTGGGGGTTCAGTCCATATTTCCAGTTCCCATCCTGGTGGATTTTGTGGCCACACATTCATTGTCTCATGGGCTGTGAAATCCCAAACGGAGAAATGTGGGAAATGAGCAACTGAGATGGGCGAACTTTAAGTAATATAATATTTATTAATGGAAAGGTCTGGAGCCAGGGAATTGTAAGATCACTCCCATCCACATCATCTTTTATTGAGCAGCACAGAGACATCCCAGTTGGCTCAAACCCCTTGGAATTTGCAGGTGCTGCACAAAGAAATCCCAGGTGGGAACATGGATCGTTCCCCAGAATGGCAGCGGATGATGCAAATGGAAACTGTGAGGCAAACACAGCCCGTTTTCCTGAGGGATCTGATCCGTGCTGGGGTTCCAGCACTGCAGAAACACAGAATCCCAGAATTATTAGGGTTGGGAGGGCCTCTGGGGGTCACCCAGTCCAACCAGGGCCACCCAGACCAGGTGACACAGGAGCTCATCCGGGCGGGGTTGGAATATCTCCAGAGAGGGTCGCTCCACACCCTCCCCGAGCAGCTGATCCCAAGTTCCGTTGGAAGAGGCTCTTCCTCAATTTGAGATGGAACTCATTGTGTTTCATTTATGGCCATTTAGCAGAGCTAATCCATCAAATCCCAGCCCGTGATCCGGGTACGGCAACAACAATGTTGTCCCGTTTTGTTGCGGATTTGGCTGGACAAGAGGGATCTGTGGGTGGCTGAGGGCCTTCACGGATGTTTATGGAACATGCTGATGGAGGGTGGTGGTGCCCAGCAACATTCCCAGGTGGATCCAGGCCTTCCCCTTTCTTTTTCCCCCCCTCAAAGCCGGAGTGTTGGCAGGACCGTGCGGGCGCTTCTTGAAACCTTAGGAATTCCACTTTAGGAATTTTCCTTTAGGGAGCAGCCACCCACCCACCCACGGGGCGACACCCAACCCTCCTGTCCTCTCCTGGTGCTGTCCCTGGCAGGTGGAGCAGAACTGGGCGACGCTACAGGGGGGTGAGATGACCATCCAGACGACGCAGGCGTCGGAGGCCACGCAGGCGGTGGCATCGCTGGCAGAGGCGGCCGTGGCAGCGTCCCAGGAGATGCAGCAGGGAGCCACTGTCACCATGGCACTCAACAGGTACGGGGGCTGGGAACACCTGGCACCTCCAAGGGTTTCACTGCAGCACTGCAGAGACCCCTCTGAGCAGTCCTAAGGGAGGCTTTTCATAGAATCACAGAATCACAGAATCAGCTGGGTTGGAAGGGACCTCCGAGATCATCCAGTCCAACCCTTGATCCAACCCCGCCGTGGTTCCCAGCCCATGGCACTGATGCCACATCCAGTCTGTCCTTAAACACCTCCAGGGACGGAGAATCCACCCCCTCCCTGGGCAGCCCATTCCAATGGCTGAGCACCCTCTCTGCAAAGAAATTCTGTCTAATATCCAACCTAAACCTCCCCTGGCACAACTTGAGACCCTGAGCCCTCTTGTCTTGCTGAGAGTTGCCTGGGAAAAGAGACCAACCCCCCCCTGGCTCCCCCCTCCTGTCAGGGAGTTGCAGAGAGTGAGGAGGTCTCCC